TACTATTCACAAGTTACCATGCAAAATCAGCAATATATCCCTTCCAACACATTCTGTAATTCTACAATATGCACCCTTAACCTGCCACTAGTTTCACCTTGTCTTGACTTCACAGTGTAGCAGAAAAGGAGTTAGAATAGTATCCAGCCACCTGCCAGACAGCACAGGGATGGGGACTGTCACGTCCAGCAGAGGGACAGAAAATTCACAATATGATCACAACCCTAAGTTTGCTGGAGACAACTGAAATATAAATCAAAATATAACAAAGGGCTTAACAATCTGCCTTATAGAATAACTGCACCGAACTGAACAGTTAGTACATCCTTGAATGGGTGGAACCAATTTTACAGAACTCACAGCATCACACAGTCAGCAGCTAAAGAGTGACCTCAATTCTGACCTTATGCCGCAACGATTCATTTTCTTCTTGTATGAGACTGCTCCTGAGACATTCAGCTTCAAAGTTCAGTATGACTGGAACTGGTAACGAATGTTAAAGAAAATCAAGGCAAGAACTTATATGTATGTGGTTTAATTCTAAAAGCCAGCACTCCATACGAGCCATTTGCCTATAAAAACAAAGGTGCCCAGTCCATACAACTAGCACTAAGCATGTGCATGACCAGATTAGCAACAGCTTAATTACCCGAGTCAACTTTGTACTTTGCTGTTGCACAAACTATTTTGCATGGACTTTGTAAGGATTTTTAGATTATTGCTTTTTACAGTCCAGAGCTGGAGGACAAGACATGTTCTGTTACTGCTTTACTGTACACTGAAGAAACAGTTCATGATGAACTGTATTCCAGCTGCAGTGTAAGCCTGCCTATCAGCAAACACATAAGGCCAGAACTCTGTAGCGGGGAGCAAAAACTTCTGCCAACAATCAACTGCGCTATTGTAGTGAGCTGTCACTAGACAATGTTGTGCACATAATGTACCGAGAGAAGAGTCTAACAGAAGATGCCAGAACAGTTATGGACTATGACCCATGGGTGCATGCCTGTTTTGTGCTATGTCAAGCAAAGAGTAAAAGCATTTCAGAACAAGGTGTGCACAAGATTTCTAGTCACTAGGACAGGGCCGAGTTTAGCATAAACAACAATCACAGTTGTTTGTGCCCAGGGAATATAACATATCATCAGGTAATTGAGCAATAACTATTCCAACATCCTCTGGTAAACACCAGCTTCCTATTAAGTCTTGGCTCTGTTTTAAACAATCACTTGAAAGCAGCAGGTTCTGTAATACTATATTCTTGGCATCACGGTTAACAGTATAACACCATGGCAAGGAAGATTTAACCATTAGTTGCAAAAAAGGATATGCATGCACTGAAATAAGACACTCAGGAAATTGTGCAGAGACACGATAAACGTATCTGCCCACTGGCGTGAGAAATAGGTAGCGAAGGTGGGGTTGGAGTCTGGGGCAGGGAGGAAGGGCAGAACAAACCAATCCTTCCACTCTGCCTGGTTCTGGAGCTCGGAGGCCTGCTTGAGGAAAAACTCCTGCGCCTTGTCATTGCGGCCATTCTGAAACACAGCAAGAAGAAAAGGGCTCATGCTTCCATTAAGGCTGCCGGGTTAGGTCTAGGAATACTTGCTCTGCATTATGAACACAATAACAACTACTTTCACCACCTCATAAGGGAACAAAAGAATCTCAAACACGCTAGGAGAAGCTCACAAATGCGCTTAATCCCACCTTCTTTCTAGTCACCACAGTCTTGTTTAAAGGCTGAGACAAATCAAACTAAACACACTGATCTCCAGTTAAACCACTGCAGATCGTGCACTGACATAAGACATGAGCGTTCATAAACAGGACCAAAGTATACTTCAAATTACTCAAGCCTACAGCAGGTGTAACCTGAAAAGGTTTCCATTATTCAGACAGGGCTGTCCCACCTCAGGGTAAGCACATGGAAAAATAAAACATGAAAAAACGCACTTCTGGAAATGCGCATTAAATTTTGATTCCTCCATCAACATCAATCGTCAAGATTTTCGGTCAGGGACTGGAATCAAGGAGAAAGAATCAAGGGTAAAACATATTCCATTGACTTTCCCAGGGTTTCAACAAGTTAATCTCTGCTCCATTTTAATCTCATTACTTTCTGTTCTATTCAAAGCAAGCCAAAAGATATTAATTTTCTCTCCCACATTTCCTTGTACCAATTTGAACCTTGTGATCTCTGCCAGTATCCAAGTTATCAACAGAGGCTAAGCAGGACTGAGCTAGCATCCTTCTGAGGGGAACTTGCCTTCATGTCAGACTGTGAACGTCTTGCTCTCAGCTAACTGTGTTTCCCCCTTCGCCTGAGTTTCCCTATCCTTCACACAAGCTTGTCATGTGAGTCTGCATCAACCTCCTTTCTACTCTACTAATCATGACACATGAATTGCTTGCTTCTTACCCACTAGGCCTGTCAGAGGCTCATAAGAGTAAGTTTATTCTCTGGTTTCAGAGGCCAGGATCTTTATAAAAGAGAAGCCTAAATATCAAACACTACCTGAATAGCATGGACAAGGTAGTACCGGAATAAGCTGGTTTTGAGCTTGTTCACCGTTGGCCGGTACACGTCTTCCAAACGGCTGAAAAGGCGTCGGTCCAGATAACTCCAGTAATCCCGCAAGGCAGCCAGATCGTAGCTCTGAACGAACTGCTGCAGCTGGTCCACTATCTTATCCACCTAAAGAGGGCAAAACAGGGAAGACTGAAGTCACATGTTGGCTCTTGCAGCACAAGAGACTTTCTGTAACTTAGTGCCGAGAAGCTTTAACTGTGCAAATGGTACAATCCAACAGTTATGCATTAGCCATTTTCCCAATCCTGGATGCACTCTGCATTTTGTATTAACATTCTTCCACTCTGCAGCACTTTTCAAATAAAAGAAAAAGAAACATGACAGAACACAGCCAAACAGATTTTGACAGAAATACCTCATTTTGCTAAGCACAGTTGAGGGGCTTTTTGCAAGTAAGCAAAACTTTCTGCTTCTTTGAAAAGTCAGTTGATAATGAAAAAAAAGTAAAAATGTGATTAAATGTAAAAACTCAAGTGCAGCATGTGAAAAAAATAGTACTATTTTTAGACTAAAATGAAAACCCCCCCTATATTTAGCCAACAGAAAGAGGAAGTCAGTTCTGTTGTACTGCAATCTTTGAAGTACCTTTATCTTTAATAATTTCATCCACTAACAAGGTAGACGTATAATTTTGCAACAGATTTTTTTTATCATGATGTCCCTTTAAAAATAATTTCTGCAATAGGAATAAGAAGGAATGGTGGTGTGGGAATAGGTTTTTTGTTCAGTGATTTCTGATGGCCGAGAGGTAACAGGAAAAAAAACCCAAACAAACACCTTGTATGCTGTACAAAATTAAACTGAAGTTGTTTAATGTCTGGTTTGCTCTCCCCTCATCAGGTAATATTTTAGGACATCATTCAGCTTCTATCTCTGTGGCTTCCTACAGATAAAGGAGACCGAAGTTTGTGACCCCAGCAGTTCATTCTTGGACAGTAATTCCAGTTAAGTCAACTGTTTGCCAATCTCTAAACATTAGCAAAGTACTGATGTTTTAAAAATAAAAGCAACATGCTTTGATGAATAATAAAAGTAGTGGCTGGATTGCTGGTTAAGAACAAATTTGAGTGTTCAAAGCACTACATTCACAGCGCCCAGAACTGCTATTACACAAACGTGCAACTCGCATAATAGACTGAAACTGTATTTTTGACGCTGGCAAATTCTGTGTCAACTTCCACACGTTTGTCAAGGTAGCTGGTGCTTGAGACACACAAACTAAGAAGCAGAGCCGTAAAGCCGCTGGACAAGAATCTGGACAATGACCAAGAAAAGATCCAGGCAAAGAGATGCCTTCCTGACGCTGCCCTCGCGGTACGCGGGTCTCCTCCGTTCCTCTCGACTCGAAGCCGAAAATCCCCCGGTGGGTTACAGGTCGGACAGACGGCAGTTCTGGGCGGGCCAGGCTGACCACCGGCGCGGGCGGCTGGCCGGGAACTGTGCTCCCGGACTGGGAAGCCAGGCGAGGGGATGAAGACCACCGTCCTGTGCTAATGCCTCTCCGGAGCCACGCAGGAGGGGAGCCTTTCCCCGGCCGAGGTGCCCCGCCGGTCCCCAGCACGCACACGGGCGGCGACCGGGCGGCTCCGCGGTGCGGGGGTCCCTCTGCGAGGCCGGCCCGGCCCCGCCACCCAGCCCACTCCAGCCCGGCGGGGCGCGGGGCTCCGAGGGCCGCCCCGCCACCGCCAGGCCCGCTGCCCTCGCCCAGCCCCGGCAGCGCGGAGGGGCACCCGCGGCCTGCCCGGGGACCGCGTCCTCCCCGGGGGCACCCGCGCCCAGCGCCCCGCCGAGAAGGGGGACGCGGCCGCCGCTCACCCGGAAGCCCTTCTCCCGATCCGCCTTGATCTCGGCGTCCAGCTGCTTCAGGGCGGCGGTGAAGCCGCGGAACAGCAAATACTCCCGCACCAGCTCGTCCGTGCGCTCCGCCGCCGCCGCCATGGGGACCCAGCGGCGCCGCCGGCTCCGCCCGCGGGCGGGGCGGGGCGGGGCGGGCACGGCCCTCCCCCGGCCCCGCGCGGGAAGGACTACAGCTCCCAGCATGCCTTGCTTGCCCGCCCGCCTTTTCCCGCCCGTTCGCTGCCCCGCTTCCCTCCCCGCCAGAGCTCAGAGCCCGCGTTTTTTCCGCCTTCTGATTGGCCGTCGTCAGGCTCCGGCTGCGTCGCGATTGGCCGTTGGCCACGTGTGATGATGTTGCCTGGCGCGCGCGGCGGAGGCGCGGCGGCCGAGGGCGGGTCCGGGCGGGGCGGCCCCCAGGGAGACACCCGGCCCTGCGGCGGCTGCGGGCGCCTCAAGGGCTTCCCCGGCCGGCCTGTCCCCTCCCGGCTGCGGAAGGAACAGCAGGGGCGGGCCTTCTTACCCCTAGGCTGTGCTTGCGGTCGGTAGCGGGGCAGCGGGCATTGCCCTTCCAGTGGAAGGGCGGGAAGGGCTTCCCAGTCGGGTCCCTCAAGCTCTGTCGGGCCGGCGGGGCAGCTGCAACAGGCCTGACTGCGCCTGGATCTGGCCCTCTTGTGCAAGTGTATGTCTGATACCGTTGCCTGCACGAATGTCACAGTTAATTGGGGAAAAAAATCCAGTGTTGTAAAGAAGTCTGTCATTTAGTAACGTCGGTGGGAGTAGAGGAGTCAGTGCTTTGTGAAGCAAAGCCCTGGATATTTGATGGAAATGGGGAAGTGTGCAGGAGGTGGGAGGCTAGCTTCAACTATGTTGCAGTTTATTGTTAGTGGGTTAGGTTTTAGTAAGTACTTAAGAGGCAGGTATCTCTCAGACAAAGAGAACATTTCAAACTCCATGATTTTCTACAGAAAGATGAGCTGGAACACCCTTGTCAATCAGCCACTTTTTTGTTGTTGTTGTTTTGGTCTGAGCAGTATGCAGGCTGTAAAGTTTCTCTTTCTTCACTTAGATATTTATTCAGTATAAATAAATGTTGCATTGCAGCTTTCGACAGAGACAGCTGGAGACTGTAGGAAGACACATGCCAGAGTGAGTCCCAAACCCCTGACACACCTGTAAGAGGTAGAACACCGTATGGCAAAGCAGCACTTGTCACAGGCACACCACCGGGTTCCTCTGGCAAGACTCTTCAGCAGCTTGCGGGGAAGAGTTTTATCCCAGTCAGACAACTGTGCCTCAAAGGTGCGGAGCAGCGGCTACTTCCCTATACATCACTGTAATACATAAGCATGTTCCAACTTATCCAGGTTTAGGTTAAATTTATGAGGATGTCCACTGTATCTTACTGGGTGCTGGTGTGTGTGGAACTTTACTATGTGCATCTTTCCTGGGTCTCTTCAAAGCTGCCAACTCAGCGTAAGCAAGTTGTTCAGTTTGTAGTTTCTGGGTCATGGGTTTATCATGTGCCTTTTCTGCACTGTTCTTACAGGCTTTTTTTGCTGCATTTTTCTAGCTTTGTATTTTCTTTTATAGTGTTTTGGAAACAAACCAAGGGACCTCATGATGAAGTTATCTTGATTTCACAGCATTTTGCTCTGAAATCAGAATAGTGAGTTTAGGGACAAAAGAAGTTAGAGGGGAGGGAGAAATTAATTCAGCCTTATGAAGTGCACTGTGTCTTCAAGGCACTCTGGAAAAATAAGATCAGGAAAAAAACAACCACCAGTACTGTTTCTTGGTCTCTTCTAAACAAAGGAACTATTTAATCAAAACAAAATAGTTTATAAAGATGAAATTTATTCAAAATACTACTGAAAAAAATTGATGTTGCCATGCTGGAGGCAGAGAAATAAACATCAGGAGTCTTTTCTCAACCCTGCCACCAATTCATTTGGTCACATTGTTTACATAGTTTTCCAGTTTGAAAAATGGAGAGGGCAGTGATTGTTTAGGACAGGAATTGTCCTTGTACAGGGCTGTGAATATGCCAAATACTTCTATATGAGGCTTGTGCCTGCTCAGGCCCTTAGCTCTCATGTAGGTTGAGGTAAGAGTTGTTTCCTGGGTTCTGAGCAAGATGCAAGGTAAGCTGAAGTCACTATGGTCTCAGAAGCCAAGACTAAAACTACTACTTCCCTTGCCTAGCCTGAGGGGACTATGTTCACATGCCAGTTCCTAAAATTGCTTTTTCATAGTATCATGTGCCATTTGTGTGATATCTGGAGGCCAAGGAAGTTTAATATCTTGAAAAAGCCTAAATACAGAAGGTCACTTGTAATCTCAGTGTTTAGTGTCTTGCTAAAATATCCGTCATGAAAGCTCTGCAAGGTAGACATCCCATCTAAGGTGATCATGGATGGAGATGTGCATGTTTAAATGCACTGGTCATATGTTTTCAGTTGTGTGTGGTATGAATGATGAAGGAGTGATGTGCAGCACTGAAGTTATTCCAGTTTACATCAGCTGAGAGTAGAACATGGCAAAGGCTTCTCCTAGCAAAATTCTCATGGGAAATCATTAGTAAAATCTTATGCCTTAAGTTGGTTGGCATCCAGCAAGGCTTCACAGCATGGTATTTCTGGACATGCTCCAAAAAGAGAATGATCCAAAAACAACCATTTGCTGATGAAAAAAGATCAGAGTAAAGTAGCAAATGTCTATGAGACTGGGTGTTATGTATATGTATTGCATAATATATGCACAATATTTATGTTCTATGTTGAAGTTTACTGTTATTAATTATTTTCCCTTTTCATAGCATAAGGGTAGCTGGTGAAACAACACAGTTGTTTTCACAGAGACATGGAAATTACTTAAGGTCAAAATGAAGGAAAAGTGAAGAAAACAATCAAGGCATGTTAAAACATGAATCTAGTTAGAGCAGAAAACAATCAGTTCTGTTTTCTTCTTATGTTTAGTATCAGATTTTGCGTAAGGCTAAGACATCTATCCAGAAGTTGGAGCAAACCTTGTGTTCTTTGCTGAAGATGAAAGGTAACTATGCAAGTATTTGCTTGGACAAATTCCCTGGACTTGGTTTTTATGTATTTGTTAAACAGAGACAGACAGGTGCACAGCTGAGCCCATTAAAGCATCACAGCCAGCTGCGGGTTTAGTTGTAGCAATAAGCAAGGGATAGCGAAAAGTCTGTCAACCCACTAAGCACTGCATCTCAGAATTCCCCCTGTAACTCAGCCTGTCCTACCCCCTCCCCAGCCTAGGTGCAGAAAGGAGACAAGTGTTTCCTGCTATCCCATGGCAGCAGGCCTGAGTGCCCTTGGCACGACGCTGCAGATTTGCCCCCAAGGGGTGACGAGCTGCCGTGGGTCCCCAGGCTGGATCCTTAGGCTCCCACTAGGAGCCTTACCGGAGCATGTGTGCTCTTCCCACCCGCAGCAACATGGTGCAGTGCGAGTCACGGCCGTCAGGAGCACCCAGCGGTGTGAGAGCTTAAACTGCAGAACAGCAGGCTCTGGTGTGAGGTAGAAGGACCTCCCAGTGTAAGAAATGGAAGCCTCTGATTAAGAGTTTACTCTGATAGAAATGGCTAAGAGAGATGCTGCAGTTTTGGGGTTTTTCCTCTTGATGGGTCATCTTCATGCCCTGCTCTGTCACAGCCTGTGTCACACAGGTCAGCATGTGCTGTCAGCAGCTGAGGCAGCTCCTGCTGCGGGGCTTCACACCCTCAACAATGAGCCTTCTGTTTACTAGTGCTGGCCACTGCCTCCACTGGCAGCAAGTAGGACTCAGGGCGTATAGGGTAGAGGCTTTGGACCTATTTTTTTTGTCCCTTCAAGTGTCCAAATTCCTGTCAGCTAGAAAAAAAAAAATTGCTATTTAGGCAACTTGCATTTCCAATAATTTGCATCAATTAGAAGTCTCAGTGCTTAGAATGAACTATCTTGTCTGAAACAACATCTTTGGATGACTCGTTAAAGTCAATCATAGGTAGAAAGAATATTTTGACAGAGCAAAATTGAAGGGATCACAAGCGTTGAGGCTGGCCAAGTGAAGCTTGGAGGTAAGCTTCCCCTTGTATTGACTTGCATATATGTAAAATTCATACTGCTTGTGGTAATCACAGCTTGGATGTCAGGGTTTTTTACATGCAATTTGTTCACTATATGGTAATCACAAAATACTGTATTGACTAGTGTGTGCCTGAACTTTGATTTGCCTGTTGTTTTCACCATCAGTTCTGCCAGATCAATGTTAGGAACAAGGCACTGATTCTAAGTTCCTCAGTGTTTGTAACCTCCCAGTGATACTAGTCACACTGTAGGAGAGGCAGAGATTTCTTCTTTCACATCATTTTTGCCTCATTAAAAGCTCTGGCTCATGAAGAACCAGTTATTGAAAATGCTCTGTTTGGTTGGGGCTGAGGGTGAGTGAGAAGCCAAAAGTGCCACTGATGTAACAGTAACCTTTCTGCTGACAACAGAGAGCTACAGTCTGGAGGATGGGAACCCATCCAGCTTGGAGGAAGTCAGGGAGGAATATGTCAAGAGGCAATTCAGCAATCACAGGTAAGGGCTTATACCGGTCAAGAAGAGACGATAATGCTTTGCACTTGCTTCCATCGCAGCATCTCTGAACCCCTTTGTCATTGTTACTGCATTTCCAAGCAGAGGTCTTTCATCATGAGAAAAGGGTGAAGAGATTTCACCTGGACCCCTGTAATCCCCTGCAGTACACAAACATTCTAAGCATGTTGTTGGTCTCATTTCCAGTCAGTGCTTGTGTTTTCTTTCCCTTCTGTATAGCTGACCTCCACCAAGGACTTCTCATTCTCCTGCAAAGCAAAAGAAAGAGGAAAAAGCTGGCTTGAGAAGAATGACCCTGCACTCTGGAGTGACAATGACAGGGGTCCAGTTAAGAAGTTGTTCATGTGGCTTTTTTTCTTTTGTGTTCTTTCCAGCATTATATCAGCCCCAGAAGACATGAGTGAAAGTGACTCTGCCATCTGGTATTTGATTCAAGAATGTGAAAAACAAACACTGGAAGAAGATGGGAAGCCAGAATTGATCCAGTTTTCAGACACTTCTTCCTCGGACCTGGTGGAATTTGAGCGGTAGGTACAGCCCACATTGCCTTCAGTTTTTTAACTTGTTTACGTTAACACTGTGCATCACGTCGCTGCTGTTCATGCAGCCCTGCTGGAGCCTAAATCTGCCTTGCGAAACCTTGTGCCAGCAACTTTGGCCCTACTGGTGATGGAGCTGATCACTTCCCAAGTCCCTTGCCTGCTACTTGTATGTGAATGGACTCTCAGCATCATAGCAGCCCCCAGTTTTTCAGACCCTGGTAAATCCCTGAGTATTTTTCACCCCTTCTCAAGAAAAAGAAAAAGAAAATTTCTTTTAAATGTTTCAGTCCATGTGTGGCCATGCTTTACCACTGTCCATATGACTTTCAGAGTAAGATAGAACATACTTGCTAACAGTAGTGGTTTAACAGGCAAGCTCAGGTGAAATAGGAAGTTATTAATCCAGGAAGATTTATGCAGGTGTGTGTCCCTGTGTGTTTGTGGTATCAGTACCCTCATAAAGTTGTATCCCTTCAATGGGGCTAAATTTTAAGAATGTAAGAATTGCTGCTCCAGATGAAATTGTCAAAAGTCTAGCTGTGTATGTTCTAGGGAGGCGCAGGAACCAGAGGCAGAGCATACTTTCCTCCACAGTGATCCTCATCCTGCCTCTAATAGCATTGTTATGAGAAGCGTGAACACGGTTGCCCCTTCCCGAAATAGACCCTTAGCTCCTTGTAGCTTGGAATACTTTTTTAGTGGAATCAGAGCAGGCTAAGGCTGCATTCAACCAAGGAAGCTCTTGTTGTTCTCAGCCTGTAGGCTGCAGAATAGTGGTGGTCTGGAAGATATCAGAAACCATTCCTCAGAATGTCTGCACTACGAGGGAGGAGGGGAACCTAAACTCTTGCACGTGTGTTACTTATAACTATTGGGTGTGAGTCCATAACCCCCTCTAGGATCAGCTCCCAAGTGCCTGATGCAGGACCTAAAAATCAAAGACCACTGTCAATCATGTCAGTGGTCCATTATTTTAGCCAGAGGTTGTTGTAATGGGTTTTTTCAAAGTTATTAATATCTTAAAACTGAGTATGTTATAACACCACGTTCTTCGCCTTGCTGTCAGACAGCACTAGGAGGTTTTATCCTGCTTTTCCAACAGGATAAATGATTAATTGATTGTAAAGATGCGAGAAATAGATGAATGTGTAATCTATCCTGTACCATCAAGCAGTCAATTTCGCCCTAACCATTCCAGAATTAAGAATATGCAGTGCAGAAGAATCCACAGCTGACATCCTCTTCCACAGCATCACCCACCATAAACAAAAACTTGCACAGTTCCTTTTCTTTTGCTTCGAACTGCTGCTTATTTTTAAAGATCCCTTGGATGTTTTTCATCAAATGTAGCCTGCAGCTGTGCCAGCAGATGGCACCAGCCTCCCACTATGGCTCCTTTTTTTGCTCCTGAGAGAATCGGAGATGCCCGTAGTAAGATATCGTTTACAAGACCTTGAAATGTGCTGAATCAAGATTTTCAGGGTTAGAAAGCTCTGCTTCATCAAAGACAGCACGACAGAGACGTAAACCTGACTTTCCTATTCTTCACTGACAAGGTTGACCAGGGCCTGTACTGTGTGAACTCTGGCTCTTACCTCGTAGTCTTAGGGCAGATTGCATTTGCTAATTCTTGTCAAAAAATGATCTTTTATAACAGGCATAAAACAACAGGGACTCCTCAGCAAAGCAAATGGCAGCCTTTGGTGATTGTTTGATCACATTATTTGGGCAGCATCAGAAATGCTTTGAGCTTCAACAGGCTGAGTTTTTTCCCCGTGCCCACCAGCAGGAGCTACATTGGTAGGACTGCACGGTACTCTGTCCTGTGCAAAATGTGGTTGTCTCCTTCCATTTGGAAAGGAAATAGTTGAGTTGTGCTTCAAGCTTAATTTCTTTAGCAGAGCGGTCTAATGGTGATTCATATTCTTCTGCTTGAGAAACTCCAGATCCTTTGTTTGGAGCTGGACATCCAGAAACCTTAGCGAGTGAAATACCTTGCATGAGAACGCTTATTCCCCTTCCAGTATTTTGTCTCCAACAATGGTGGAAAATATTCAAGAGTATGAAAACTGGAGTTTAAACATGTTTATGGGTGTATACAAAATTATCTTGTCAATATTGGTTTGCTGGAACAAATATTTAAAAACAGTAAAGAAAAGACTGAACTCTTTTGAGTTAATTTGCCATGCAATACTGTTCAGTTAATCAGGAGATGTGCTCATTTGGGACACCTTCCAATGAATCATTTTGAGCCCAAATGTAGTAAAAATGACTGCTGTTTATAGAACTCTTGGTTTGTACTCCTTTGATTTTGTTATTTTCATTTGAGAAGCTCTAAGCATTTGATTAATGTAAAATAACCTTCAGTGTTGCTTTCTGAAGTAGACATTATTATCCTTGGTTCACTGTGCCACAAGCAGGCTTGTTCTGAGATTTAGTGACTGGGCTGAAATTATGACACTTGTGTTCCATCACCAATTTCGCTACAGACTGCTTAGAAATCAGTCTTAGGGATGCATTTCCTCAGATGTAAAACACAGGAAATTTAGCTCTCATGCCTGAGTCAGAGCATCCAAACCAGGGGTAGTCTCCTTCTGTCTGCATGTATAATTACCTAATACATCAGGATATGACCTCAGACAGGGCTTTAAAGTGTAGCACAATGCCAGTAAATGTCTAAAAAGTGACTTACAGTGCAAAAGGCTCAGGTTACAAAGGCAAGTAGCTGAAAATTGATTAAACTCCAGAATGAGGTCTGCCTGTGCAACAAGTACAACCTGCAGTGCCTGGAGCTTTTGCTGTGAGGCAGTCCTGCTGAGGCTGAGGCTGAAGCCTGCTTTCTGCAGATGAAATCTTGGCAGAACAGAGTTGCTAAAATCTTCAAAGAGTGTTGGACAATCTTCAATAATTGTATGAAGTCTTAGGGGGGGAGTCAGTGAAGCAGTTATGAATCAGAGCTACTCCTACTACCCAGTCTCTTGCTGATTTTCAGTAGATGGCTGCGTCATAGCCTGCTCTTAAGAGATGCTCCCTTTCCTTTCATTCCAGATACCTGTATTTTTATAAGCATACAATGGACCTGCTGATAGAGCATGGAATTGTTTGCACTGGAGAGGTGCCTCTTCCTGAGGTCTCCACAGCTATTTCCCATTTCTGGCAAGAGCTTTCTGAAGAAAGCAGGGACAGCATCTTGCAGTACTGTAGTCAGAGAGATTTCCTCGTGGATCCCAAGGCTTCTGGCCAAGAGCCTGCATGCACTGAAGGTAGTGTGAGGGACAGCGGAGGTAACAGTGAGGAAGCCAGTGGTTCCTTAGTCTCCACACCAGAGGAAGTAAGTGCTCAGTAACATACACAGTCTGCCTCTGAAGCTCCAAGCCTTCCAATGCTAATTGGCTCTGTTTTCAATTAAAAGCTGCATACAGTAGTTGTGACTAAGCTTTCTCAAGACCACCTGAATGCGTAAGTGGAGACAATAAGCAGCCTTTGAGTAAATGTCTGCACCAAATTTTCTCTTGATAAGATACATAGCAAGCTACAGGAGTGTAGTGGTAGTCATCCTGTGCTGAGTAACAGTTAAATTTACTCATAACTTGCTCCAGGGGCAGGGAGCAAGAACAAGAGTTCCTGTGCTCTGCAAACCCTCTGAGAAACACAGAAGATCCAAACTCAGAAGGAATACACAGTTTGCCAAGGCCTGCTGTGTTTTGGCTTGGGTGGGTTTTTTTCATCAAAGCACTTGGTAGCAGAGAGACCAGTTCAAGTGGTACAGGGCCAATGACTACCTGTACCATGCACCTCTGCAGAGCTAAGAAGTCAGTGATTGAGTAGACCATGGCATTTGTTAAAAAGGGATTGATGAGAGTGATTAAATAACAGCTAATTCTTTAGAAATGGTTCCTGGAGCACTGATTGCTGAAGTAACTAGCTGCTCAAAGAGATATGTGTCATTTTATTAGCTGCAACAGAGGGACAGGTGTCCACCTTTAGCATATAAGGAAATTGCATTGATAAGTTCTTTTTGAGTCACAGGACACAACTCATATTGCTCATTGCCTTAGGAAATGTCATGGGGATGTTGCACGTACAGCACTTTCTGGCACAGAAAATGTGTGAACTGCGTTATGGTAGAGTGAACTAATGAGCTGGTTGGTCTGTCACAGAGGGCATCTAAACTCCTTTGTAAAGTGGGATCGGATTTGGGGAGACCAGCTGGTACAGCTGAGATCTCCAGCCATAAGAAGCAGTCCACAATCAAGTCTCAAAAGCACTGATACAATTTATGGGTTTTACTGATTTTTTGGGAGATGTAATATTAAGTCTAATTCCAAGAGGTTGAAGCACAGGCTTAAGGGAATGGACCTTAACCTTGTGTTCTTAGTCATGAAATACAATTATTCTTTATTATTCCTGTCTCCACAAAACCTCTAGCTGTAAACATACCTGTTAAATGTAAAGAAAGAATATCATTTTTTTAAGACTTTATTATTAAAAATTATGCCCTAGGTAAAAGTTTTAGGTGTCTGGATATGTTGACATCTGAAGTGATTTCTCTGCTAGGTAATGTTTGAAGATGCATTTGATGTTGCTGCTGGTTTCCTTGACAGAAGCAAGACTCAAGGAATATCTAGCCAGAGGTAAATTACAAAGTCACCCCTTTTGGTGGACACAGTAAGTTAATAGCCTACTGTCAATACTCCACAGCAAGTATTCTGCGAAGTGAGACAATAGTCTAGCTCTCTTTTTTGTGCCTAATTTTTAGTAAATGGTTAGAATAGCAGCCTCCAGCAACTGTGCTCACAATAATACTTCCTTTTAAGGTGCAGAAGCGAAATGACTAATGGTCATTTACAGCAGAATCAGTAAGAATCACTTACGAAGAGGAGCCGGTCACTTCAGGATAGCTGAGGCCCTTCTGATTTTCTTCACCACTCTGCATAGCTTTCTGGTTTTCCAAGTTACAGTACTTTGCAATGTTTTCCTTTTCTCTGTCTCACTTACCAGATCTGTGAGGACCATGAGGCATTCCCTGCGTAAATAAGCTAATCATAGACTGTACTCTTATTTAATGAGACAATAATGATAATTTTTTAAAATTTTCTCTCTTATCTTTTTCAAGTACCCTAATTTAGTCACAAGGAGGCGATCAGGTTATAGTGTGGTTGACCTGAACAGTAACACCAAAGAAACACAGGGCCTACTAAATAATAACATCTCTTTCCTCTTCAGGTCAGATGAGTTACCTTGAAGAGAACATGTCAGATACAAAGCTGGCACTGACTTTGATTTTTCGCAGTAGACTAAAGAAACAAAACAGTTGCTTTTCTCAAGAGGAAGATCATATTATGACTCATCTTTTATGTATTCTTCCTACTTAAGTCTTTGTTAGGATTGTTTCTCTTTGCAAATAATGTTTTTAATCTGTGGAGGGTTTAATCCCGTTTTCTACTTATATTTCTGCATTTAGAGTGCTCTTTAGTGTGAATCTCTTTCTTTCACCACCATTCCAGATTGCACTTCCAGAGGAGAATGAATTAAAACACGGTTGTTTTGGCTGTTGGTCAGAATATGCATGAATAGATAAAAAAGCTTAACAAACATTTGTCTATTAAAAAACATTTATTAGGTCATAGTTGCTGTCTGCATTTAAAATAAGATTAAATATTCCTTAATACTGCAGTGTGTTGCCGTCATCTTTACAGTCTGTTTTAGGTCCCGAATCAGATTAGTATTTCAATAGTCAACATTTATCCTGTTCTCTTCCCTGCCTATTGTTCTGTGCCTTATAATTCTGGACAGAGGTGTGATGGCAGAACTTTGTAAAATCCCAGGAAGAATACAGAGGTAAGGTACAGAATGAATAGCTTAGCTTTTTGCCACAGTTACCTGAGTACAAACCTACATGTCATCTCATCACCACAGGTTACTTCACTCACTCAAAAACTTCACAAAAGAAGTTCTTCTGAACAACCCTACAAAATATACTACCAAATAACCCTAGTTGCTCTCTGTTTTATTGGATATATGTGTTCCCCCAAGACAATGTTTCTAAAGCTGTCACGTATCAGTGGATCTATTTGTTGTGACACAGGTTTCTTGAATTGCTGTTCTCTGTTCTTGCGTATTGTCCTTGCACTTGTTAGACAGTATCTCAAGAATACATCCACCACCACTCCTCTCTGCCTTGCTTGGCTATTGTCTTTAACATCAGAATCATCTTGAAAACAATTTGAATCTTTTTTTTTTTTTCATTTATAAGTAAAATGTGGAGGAGAGAAGGGAACAGGAAATTAAATATAGTATCTGGTTCCATTTTCAGTTCAGCAATTGCAAGCTGCAATTCTGAAAATCCAGAGGATCACCACAGACTTTATCTGCTGGTCACTGACTTCCTAAAACGCCTCTTCTTCACTAATACACAGTTCTTCCAGGTAAGCCTTGCCAAGGGATTCCTTATAGAAGGAACAATGTATTTCTATCATTGTCAGAAAGGGATTTCTGTATTCTATGCTTCTGTTTATATTGTCCAGAATGATTCCAAATAAGAACTTAGGGTTCATCCCTTCAGATGTGTCAGTAGGATTACCTTTGTAAGAAGCAAAGTGTGAGAGGTTATTATTGCTTTGAATATTACTCAAAATGGCAGATGACATGAGGAATTTTAAATTTTTTTATATCACTGTTTGCATGAAAGTTCCACGTGGAAAAGCTTGGGTGATCTCCTCTGAGCGGGCAAAGCTCACTTCGCAGTTCTCCATTAACCCCCAGCTGCCTCATTCTGAGCTCAGTACGACCCACTTTCTGCTTGTCTGGGTGCCAGGTTCCCTACCCTGAGACCTCTACTGACAGGCCTTAGGAGCAGGATATTTATGTTCTTGAAAGAGCTGATAAGCAGTTCCTGAGCTGCCTCCTGACCTCAGCCTACTGTTGCAGGTTTGCTGAGCCAACAAGTCCTTGTGTTGCAGTGTTCTTCCTCCCCTTCTTATCTTCCTGCCAAGGAGGTGGCTCAGAGCTTGCGCGTGGGTGAAGAACCAAAAGATATCCCTCAGCCAGAGCATGCTTGTTTTGGTTCAGAGTCAACTGTACCTCCACAGTAGCCATTGGCTTTCTAGTTTCTATTGCCTAGCTCCCACCAGTCTCTGGTACTTGAACAGATGCTCCTTTGAAGGAATATAGAGGGTTTGTGATGAGGGATAGTTGTAACAGAAAACAAAGCAAAAAATTGTGTTGCACCACTATCTGAATCTATAGTAACTGCTGAGTGCCATTTGGTTCTTCCATCTCAGGGAAACAGTAGCACTAGAGGAGGTACAGAGAATGCCAGCAGGTACAGCAAAGACATTGAACAGGAACTTTAGAGTAGGACTTTTCTACAAAAAAAAGACTGAGGGGTACTGCAAGACAATTTTGTTCCTGCGTGGTGTGGATTTGGTACACAGAATGATTATTCATTGTGTCTAACACCAGAAGAACTAGAAAGCACACAATAAAATGAACAATCAAAATGTTAAAACACTTGCATTTACAAATTACCAGATTTAATTCCAGGGGCAATTGCTAAATCTGAAGGTCCAAATACAATTTCCATCTCAGGAGGTCCTCACAGCAGCTTGCTGTAATGTAGGAGCATATATTGTGAAACAGAGCATGCTGCCTGTGCAGTCCTTCTAGATCGAGTCCTGTCTAGACTTCCACTCCTGGCCATTGTCAGAAACCAGGCACTGATCTATGCAGGCTTTTGGTCTGTGAATTTCTGTTTTCTGCATAAAGGCAGAGCTCTTCTTGTGTTTATGTAAATGACCGTGGACTGAGCAGGCCTAGAAAAGAAAGAAAAGCTTTAGGCAAGACGTGGTATTTTCCAGTTTTAAATTTCTTTTGTGAGTGTCATGCCTGGCATGGTCTCATTTTGTCCTTCTGCTTGGTGCTGTATCATTGAGCACAAGTCCATCTCACAGCTCCCAGATGAGGTGGTATGGGAAGGAGTAGTGCTTCTTTCAAGGATTGAAGAGGCACATTTAAAGTAAGACTAGGAGAATGGGAGCAATGGGAAGACAGGCAGCAGAAGAATCCAAAGTACTAAAAATTGCCAGTTGACTGTACTCTCTGGATCCGAAAGGAAATAAAAGGTTGCACACACTTCTGTGAGGAACTTTTAGTTGTCTGGGATAAGACAAGAAAAAAGGGAGTTTGAGCAGAAATCACCAAGGCTAGATAATGTGAAGGTCACAATCTGTTTTGATTTAGACTGCAGTACAGCATATCTAGACAGTGCTGCCAAGAGGGAAAAAAAAATTGACTGACAAGATATTTTTTGTTTTGAGAGCAGAAATTTGGATCCATCTCAAAGCAAACAGATTGAGACAGTTATGAAAGTGGTTGCAGAGCAGGGATAGAAGATGTTCCAGCTAGCTTGAAACACATCAACTCAGGCAGCAGCAGAGAGATCAGTATAGGCTACTCACCTTGCCCCAGAATTTGGGCTGCTCAGAGCATCAGAGACTCCTGGACTTAACAGGGAAAGGAACCCGTCCTGCTTACCTTATGGGTATGACTGAACCCCTGCAGACCATTCCCCTTCCCTTGATAAGGTATCTGTGCTGGCACTATGCTAGCCCCAGCAGTTTGGACCGTGCTGGGATCTCACGGTTAACGTAATGTCCCACTACACTGTGCACACACCTGGTAGAAGATACAGAGGTGAGTAGCAGGTACAGTAAGTACTAAGGTAAGGCATGTGATGTGCACCCAGCTGAAATACAAAAGGCAACCTATGGTCTCCTTTCCTTTCTTCTGCAGAGCTGATGAGGTGATGGGTTTTATTGCTGGTCATTCATTCCAGTGCTGTTATGCCATTTCTAGTAAACTTTACAGGTACAAAGTACTGCTGTTGGATTGTGTATGGTCACTGTTTCACAGTCACAGAGCTACTGAGCACAGCTCCTCTTGAGCTGCTGCTCTGGCTCTCCAGGCTGCCGAGGGCATGAACCCCACTGGTATAAAAAACTTCAGAAGGACTCACACAAGATAAGGGAGGCAATAATTTGGACAAGGAAAGGGAGAGCTCTTAAAAGGGCAGTGATGCAAAAATAAGAACAGGAACACGCATCCATGGTACATGATAGAGAAATATTTCTGAACATGAGATTAGTTAAGCAATCTTGTCATTTTTCAAGAGCTGTTGTCTTAAGGTCATATCATAAGAGAAGCTTAGCAGCAAAGGCAGTAAAGAATTAATTTAAACTGAGGTCCAAAGGTTTTGCCTAAATGAAAGTCAGTGGGTTTTTTTCTAATAGTTCTGAGCACCTTTGTGTCTTCAAAGGAACACTGTCTTTTAAAATTATGGATTTTAGATGAGTCACTGACAAGCAAGTGGGATTTAGTGCTCCTTAAGCTATACATTTTTAAACAGCACCTATTTTTAAAAGCAGTCTTTCCCTAAAGAGTCTTGCATCAATACAGAAGGTGGACTAGAGGGACTGCAGGCATGAACACTTTCATCTTCCAGACTTTGATTTCTCAAGAGCTGCTTATTCTCTGTAAGCTGGTGAAAGAGAAGACCACTTCCTTCTGTTGCTAAAAGTGGAGCAAAGGCTGAAGTAGGTAGAAGTTAAGGCCTCAAGGAAGCTCTCATATCTTCAGAGCCTGTTATGCGACACACTTGCTACCACAGTCAGTAACAGCTGTCTAAATTATGTAAACAGACACAGAGCAGAGCCTGGTGATTTTAGAAGGAAGTTGGTTGAAAATCTGAGCCATTCTTCATCAGGCATCTCAGGCACTTGACAAGTGCTGGTTGCTGATTCAGAGAGGAGGGAGGGCTCATGGTTCAGTAGCTGACATATCAGTTCTTGACCAAACCACTGTATATTTGAAACACAATCGACTCCACTGGTTTTTAATCCTGCTTGACTTGGGGGGGGGGGCTTTCAGGAAGAAGATCTTCCATACGATTATGAGACTGTGATGCTGAGGTGCACTGAGACCTTCGATGATGAAGATTTCTAAACAGTATCTTTCTTTGGTAAAGTTTTGCCAAGCAGTGCCAGGTACACCAGGCACGTGAAGAGGCTTCACCTCTTTCAGTGAAGCACCTCTCAGAGCAGTGTATGGAGACACTGTGTTGAAGTGGTTTGTTACCATTGACTTCTCCTTCCCTCATTAGTACTTCTTGATGTATCAGTTGAGTAATTTATACTTTTTAAAAGTCTTAAAGGTTTTAGCTATTTATTATATCTTAATAAATGCTTTTATCCATCGCTATTTAATGTTAAACATCACCTCACAAATAAACTGAGGCATGTACAGTTAAGTGGCCTTGCCTAGCATAACCTGTGGAAGAGCAGCAGAGAGGCCACATCAGTGGCAGCCTGCACACTACCATAGGATGCAGGTCTCAAACTGCAACCTGTAAAAATCACCACCCTGACAGTGATTACTTTTCTGGTGCAGTTTTTTCAGCTTGGGCTGACAAGGAAAGATGGATTTCCTCACAAAGAGTGGGATGAGGCTCTTCTGTCTCTTTATGAGGACAGCAGCAGTGGGCACCCAGTCCCAAAAAGTGCAGGCACAATAACACACTTTGGATTATTTACTTTTGCAAAGTGTGTAAAGCTGAGTGATCAGCCCTGTGCTCTTCTTCCATATTTAATTCTTTGATGAATAGTGCTGCTCAAATAGTGTCTTAGAATTAAAAGTGCTGTGAAAATGAATAAAATCCTTCACGTCTCAGAACTATCATTAAAGGCTATTCTGCAGACTTGAACAAATTGTGTTCTGATAGTGGTTATGTTGGTCATGCTAACAGCCATCACAAAGGATACAAGTTTTATTTTAAAACCCAAACTAAAGCTGGCATGCCTAGGTATCCATTGGTCTTTGGCAGCCTGGTTTTACACTGAACCCAAGAGGGCTGGGCTGTTGCCCAGCATTGCCTTGGTGCATAAAAGCATGATACATTCAGGCAGACACAAGTGGAGCCTAGGACTGAAGTACAAGGAAGAATAAGGGCTACAGAGCCCCTTCTGCCCCTGCAGCTGAGGCTGTGATAGCACTCCATGGTGGATGTTTGCCAGGCTGCTGTCTTTTAAATTGGGGGTGGAGGGGTCCTGTTTGGGTTTAAGAGCCCTTCCGATTTCTCCGGGGTACAGCCTTGCCATTTCCTGGCCTTTCTAGTGTGTTTCATTTGTACATACTATCATTGCTTTGAGGCTATAAACAGTGATGGCTTCCCCTCCTCTCCCTCTCATTCTAAAATACCAACTACATGCATTCCCTGGGCAGCCTGGGTTTTGGGACATGTGCTGGCTGAAATGTATGTACAGACTTTGCATGGGATCCAAGGTCAAATTATTCTTTCCTTTAGCTAATACAAGAGACAGATATATTTATATATATACACACCTAAGTGTTTACATTTATATATATATATATATATATATATACACATAAGTGTTTACATTAAGTGTTCTGCCTCTTTTCTTCTCTTTATGTAGCTCTGGGGGGACACTTTAGTTTTTCTCAGTATCGAGGTTGCTTTTTCTAAAAGCTTTCAACTGCAGAAATCATACAGATTTTTCTCCTAGAATCATAAAGGTTGGAAAAGACCTCCAAGATCATCAAGTTCAGCCTTTGAGTGAACACCACCATGGCCACTTGAACATATCACAAAATGCCACGTCTGCTCATTTTTTTAACACTTATTTGCCACACAACATTCGATCAGGTTTGTTACATTAATGATTCTTTCACCGTGTCCGTCTTAATTACTGCGTCAGCTGAGGTCAAACTTGGCAATACTGGCACATGCTGAGTAGATAAAGTTCAAGGGTTAACCACCTTTTCTTATGCTCCCTTTATCACCACCCTTTTGAAGGCCAGTCCAGGACAGAAGTTAAACAGTGGAATATTTCATTTTCAAATTATTTTCAGCCTGCCACCTACAAGAGGAGACAGTTTTAAATGGACACCATACACTATTGTAAATGCATTCCCTTAACCATCAGACATGAGAGCTTCCAGTGCTTCACCGGGAGAATTTTAGGTTAAGACTGGCCTGAACATTCATGCACAACAATAGGTGTGTTGAGTTAATGTGAAAACAATAACTCCCTAAAATAGTAGCAGGCTTTGTGGGCGGTGTAATGACATTAAGGAGAAGATGAAGAGCACATTACTTTGGTTTCTCCTCTGGCGTGATCGTAGTTTACAAGAGCACAGGCTTGTGTGTAATGCAGGAAGATGGTTTCCTGTCCTGCAGAGCCAACTCTACACAGACAATAGCTGTTCTGGCCTGGTGTGTGTGAGGTCTGCTCTACCTTGGCAGGGAAGCAGCCCTGACCACAGTACTGTTAGGTGTGAACACGTTACACACTGAGCAGTGCTCACTGGTTGGTCTGATGGAAAGATTTCATAAAAAAATCTGGAAAAATGTAGGCAAGCAGGTCACTGGGGCCATGAGGTAGGAAGGAGTTGGAGGCAGAAGGGCAGCAGGGATGGAAGAGTGGGAAACACGGACACATCAGTGGAAGTGCAGCCATTGTAGGGGCTTGGGCAGACCAAGCTGAACAGGACAGAGTAGGACCCAGTACATTACAGCTGCACAGCAGTGTGGCAGCCCCTCACTTTACAACACACTGAGCATAACAAAGGGCAGTCCTACTGCCCAGGTCATGTCTTCTTGTGAGAAAGCTATGAAAATGAGCCTCTGATTAGCTGTTCTGGAGCCAGTGCACCTAGATACAAGCAAATACCCATCACTATGTCTCCTCAGCCAGAACAGCAGGAGCACCTGTCTGGACTTCCCAGCTAGCTGTCTGCCTCTCTGCAAAGCTGCAAGCAGTGACCCCACACCTGGCTGACATCAGTAAGTCTTGCTGCACTCGGGACTCAGTAGCATGAAAGAGAAACGCAGTTGACAAGTAGCTGGCTGTTGTCCAAGCAATCTGGAGCAGTCTTCAAGTGTTCAGTTCTACACTTGAGGCTCGTCTGATTTGCATTTTTTTTCATTAGGTAGCAAATAAACAGAAGCTGTGGTGCAAAGCCAAAGCTATTTCCAAAACTCAAGTGGCCACATGCAGTTAGGAGGAGTGGTGGCCCTGCAGACTAATCCCTGCCTACTTCATTTTAAAATATGGAATTGTCCCCATCAGGCAAATAAAAGGATATTTTATAAATATATAACTAACATATCAAAGGGCATTTATGAGCCTCAGATTGAAATAGAGATGCAAACAGCTTCTGAAAATCTGTCTTCTAAGCCTTAGCAACAGCAGATGCAGCTGCCCCAGACCAGCACACCACCACTCCCACCACCACTCCCTCCTGCAGCCGCAGCTGTCTGCACCTCCAGAACCATAGGATATGCTTGGGTAACTGGGGATTGGGGCCCCCTCATACCAGGATCTGTAAAGTCATGCCCAGCTCTAGGGAGCTTGCAAGCCAAATACAAGATGGGGACATACAGACACAGCAGCAAGGCTGGGTGTGCAGGGTGACAGCACAACAGACAATGTTCTCCAGCCTTGGAGTGGGCAATAAAAAGCCAGTTCTAGACTGATTTTTGTAATCAACCTGTGCCAATGATATTTTTTTAACAGAGCTAAAGCAAATATAAACCTCTGGCACTTGCCGGCATCCTAACATGTCTTATGGGGAAAAGTAAAAAGATATGGCTACAACCTCCACAGAGCTAACATAGAGAGAGTAAAATTACTGAGGCTTCCTCATTTGTGGGGGAACACACCCTATTGGTGTGACTTCTGTACCTCATCCATTAGCTGTGTGTCCTTTTCCCATTTAAACCTCCAGCCTGTGGTGGGTCTGGCCAGCAGCAGCCTGGAAGCTTCAGCACAGGACACAGGAACACGGTGATGTAGACTTTCAACTCACTTTCACACATGTGCTACAGCACAAGTAAATTTGAGAGAGATGATGAATAAGGCCATGGGTTTTCCTGCTAGAGAGAGCAGCCTGGGAGCTGGCTCTAAATGCACTTAGAGATATAGTCAAGATTGGGGATAAAGAAGATACCAGAACTGAGATGCCTGGGACCAGTCATATCTAAAATCTGCTATGGTGGAGGGGGAGTCAGATATACTTCAATGTACAAATCATTTTTTTCTCTGAAAGACATAACAACTCTAAGACACAACAATTCCAATATAATAGTTGCCAACAGAGGCTCTCCAATCTGCCCATAACAGCAAATCATTTATACCATAATGTTTCTTTCCTTAAGATCCCAACAATCCCACAATTGATCTATTCAGGCTTCATTCCCTCTCAAAGCAAAAAACCACATTATGTCTCTTACCAATAAACAAGCCACCTATCACTGCAGCTGCAGTGTGGGACCAAAGAACAGGGCTGTAATGGGCTTTTCACTGAAACCGCACAGTTTGGTTCAGTCTTCAGACTGAACCATCTCTGAGCAGGGGCTGGCCCAGATGACCTCCAGAGGTCCCTGCCAACCTGAATTACTCTGTGATTCTTTGAATACTACCTTCCACTCACTACAGCAACCACCCTGAGAAATATCATTACAGTGTACATTTTATTTATTTAAAAAAAAAAAAAAAAAAAAAAAAAAGGAAGTATAAATCTCAATGCAGGAAATACAAGGTTATGCTACAGCAACAATGTTATTACACATCATCAGCAACCAGCACCACATGCTATCATATTGTATGTGGCCATATAGGTTAAGGCTGTCTCTGCTGATAGGGAGCAGGAGCAAATGTGTTTTCCAGAGAAGTGCTTGTCACCACACAATCACCACACCAGACTGAACAGGTACAGGGGGTACACAGGACGTAACAGTTGCAGGAATGCAACAGATTTTGAGCAGAAGAGTTTTCTCCTTCATATTTGATGAGGATTCCTTCATCTTTGGTGCCTGTGGGAAACTGGCTCACCCGAGGCTGCTCCCAACACCCCAGATGGAATACATTTCAGTGAAGCTCGGTTAGGCCAAGAACCTAAGTAAGGTCTGTAGAGTCCCATTGTGGTCTAAGGAGGGAGAGGCAGGTTCAGAAGTCAGTCCATCCCATTAACCTTAGATGACTCTCTTACAATAACATTCATTTGACTGACTAAATTATCGGAACATGGAATGAGATGAATCATGACTTAGAGGTGCCTGCTCCTTCCCCTTGGCCAGGATGAATTATAAAACACAAGCTGACAGGTGAGTGTTGCCATTACAGATCTTAAAGGGGATAGGGATTAGCCTCGACCCACGGGATGCCTGTGAGTGTTACAGGGCCCACATCAGGATACCTTCTCCATTGGCTCCTTGAGCTGCCAGATGAGGGGACGGGAAGCCCTCTGCTTCAGCTGAACAGCTGCTCCTTGGGGTGCCCAAGGTTCAGTGCAAGGAAGGAAACAGAACATCTTTCCCAGGCATTTCTTGGGCTTTGGTGTTCCCCAGAGAGGGATTAGGTTCTTCCTAGAGGTGGCCAGGCAGGAGGAGAGAGGAAAAGAATGACTCCCTCAAGGTCACCAGTGTTGCAGGGAGTAGAGCTGAGAAGAGGAAGACATTATTCTCCTATTCCACCCTCTGACAGCTGCCAGGTCATGCTCAGATGATGAGGGCTGCAGACATGCTTTCAGACCTCTGCTTTCGAGATGAGTTTACCTGTGCTGAGGCCAGGTCCTTATATCTTTGTTTCAGCACCGATCTCGGAGTCTCTT